TTGTGGCAAAATGGAGAAACTGAGGACCAGGGAGAGACAGGACCTGGTCCAAGGTCACACAACAGTACGGAAGAGAATCCTAGTGTCCTGATGTTCAGTTTGGGCTATTTCCTCTACACTATTCCCAAACATCCCAAAACACGGTCTCTTGTCTGCTGGGTTCTACGCTAAGCACCAGAGCCCGAGGTCTGGGACGCAGCTCTTGCCTGGGAGGAGTCCCAGGTTTGGTGGGGAGAACTTAGAACTACATTGAAGGTGATTAAGGCTGTGGGATATTAGCAGGACCCTGGGGTGAAGTGAGGCTTAGGCTGTTGCTGAGTAGGCGTTTGGGGAACAGATGGGATAAAAGCAGTCCAAGCAGCAGGAATAGCAGATACAAAGGCAAGAGGATTGAAAGAACATTAAAGAAGCTGCAGGTTCAATGGGCCTGGTGTAAAAGTGAGTGTGGGTAGGAGAGAATGGTGCAAAATGTGGCTAGAAAGGTCAGCATAGCCAGCCAGACATGGGTGGCCAGACCAGGGGTTTGGGATTTAATAAGAGTAATGGGGAGCTATTGAGGGATGCAAAGAAGCAGAATGGGGCAGTCAGACTGGTGCCTTAGAATCGGTGGGGGTACAAGCTGGCTCAAAGACATAGCCAAGACATCCAACCAGATTTATATTTACTCACTGAGCACTTGTAATCATCTAAAGACTTAAATGTTAGTATTTTTTTCTAGTATTATTTTCATTTCTGTTTTGCAGAGGAGGAAGCTGAGACAGTGTTTTGTCCAAGCCACATAAACTAGTTAGTGATAAGTCAGGATTCTAACTCAGTCTGACTACAGCTAAATACTACTCTCATCATTGGGATAACCATTTTGTTATACTCAGGCTAAACTAGGGGGCTGTTGGAGTGTCTGGGAAGGGCTAGTGGTAACCTAAGTGGGCAAAATGGCAGTGGAGATGGAGAGGTGTGGATGAATTCCAGAGCTCTCTACGAGCCAACTCCAAAGGGTTTGTACAGTGAAGCAAGGCAGAGGGGTCTAGGGTTTCTTTTGTTGGGGAGTCTGGCAGATGGCAGTATCCTCAGCAGTGAGGAACTTCTGGGGGAACAGGTGTTTAAGGGGATGATGACATGGACCTGGGAGGAGCTGGCAGGTGACCTGGGGGAGGTGAGCTGGCAGGGGAATCTGCTGGGATCCCCTCCCTTCAGCTCCAGCCCTAAAAGCAGCAGCAGGCCCACCACCCCCAAGCACCCCAGATCCCAGACGGCTCAGAGGGAAAGAACATGGGCTTCCTGGAGGGAGCTGGAGCCATCTGGGCCCCCTCCCCCATCCTCTTATTGACTCTGGGCAGCCGCCCCACTTGACAGACATAGCAACAGGGTCCAGCAGGGAGCGGAAGGGTGCCGTCTGTCTGCCCCTGAGCTGGTACCACCAGCAGGCCGCGGGTGTTGCACCTCCCACCCCCTAGGCTGCCTGGCGCTGACTCAGCCCCCTGGAACAAACAATCCCCCATGATGACAGCTGACATGCATCACTCACCACTAGGGTTGCCTAGAGACTAGTGCGGCTTGGGCTCAAGGGTTGGGGTGGGATCTGGGGTCTTGCCTTGGAAGGTTCTAGTTTGTACCAGCTTTAGACTGAAGACCACACCTCCTCTCCCCTGCTCTCTTAGTAGACCTCATTCTGGGTACTGATATCTATAAGCCTACTCTACCGATGAGAAAAGAGACTCTCAGGACAAATGGCTTGCTAACATCACCCAGCTAAATGGCTAAGCAGACAGTGCCTCACACACAGTAGGTGCTCTGTGCCTATCTGTTGAATGAATAAAGGTGTTACTTCAAAAGTTGGGCCCCTCCTCTCAGCCTGGGCAATCCACAAGGGCAAAGTCTGGTTCTTATGCATGCTTGATTCCCTCAAACCCATGGAGAGACTGTATCTCTGAGATTCCCAAGACCACAGATCTCCCTTAGGGGCTGTGGGACTGATTCCTGGGTGGGAAGGAACCTGAAAGGGGGCTTCTTCAATTCTAGGTTAGCCCTATATCCCCCAATCTGTGGTCCCCAGTTGGTCCTGGTCCTTAGAACTCACACCTTCCTGCCACCACCCATAGGACTGTCCAAGACAAAGCTCAGAGAGATCAAGATGGACCTAGGGAAATGGAAGGAGGGAAAGAGAAATAGAGCTAAGGGGAGAGAAAAAATAGCAACTGAGACACTCAGGGAGTTAGAGGCACAAAGGCAGGGAGCCAGAGGTTGGAGATGGGGTTGTGCTGTATGGAGGGCCTGTGGGGGGGCTCACTCCTCACACTGTAGGGGTACAGAAGAGTCAATGCAATCCCAATGTAAAGAAGAAAGGCAGCAGGGATGGCAAAGAGGGATGGGGGAGAGTGCTGGGGAACCATGGAGCAGGCAGCAGGTCCCAGGAAAAGAATGGAGAGGGGAAGAGGGGAGAGCAGGAAGAGGCAAGTGGAGGAAGTAAGAGGTATAGGAAGGAGCCAGAAGAGGGGTAAGAGGACTCCCAAAGGAAGTGAAGATCAGGGAGGCTTGAGCTGGAGGGGTTGAGCAGAGGGCTGCAACTAACAAGCTTGGAGGGAATCCGGGTGGGATAGAAGCCTCAGGGTGCCATGGAGGACGGAGGGCTGTAGAGAGGGGGATGGGGCCCCCAACAATGAGCTGGAGGCTGACTGATAGTTCTGTAGTGAAGGGAAGGAGGCCAGGTAGAAGAGGCCCTTGAGAAGAGGCATCCCCTCTAGGAGTAAGTCATCAGGATGAGACAGTAACATTCTGAAGAACCAGGTGTGAGGCTAGGCCAGGGTGAGGAGCAGACCGAGGGGGATGCACAAGACAAAGGAGATATGGGAACAGGAATAGGAGGATGGATGGAAAGTGGAAAGGGAATGGAGGGATACCCAAAGTGAGCTGCAGTGGGGGTTAGGTTTCTGGCTCGCTTAGAGCCCATGGCTGCTTGGCTAAGGAGGGGGCTGTGAAAGGAAAGGGTTAAAGGCCTCTGAGCTATGTGGGTCCTGTAAACAGATGCAGTTGCCATAGCAACCGGCTTCATCACGGGCTGGAAAAACCCATGGGGGGGGTAGCGGCGGTAGACAAACTGCCCGACAGACAAACAGGGTGTGTGTGTGTGTGTGTGTGTGTGCACGCGCGTGTATAGATTGAGGGGGTAAGAGAAGGTGCAGGAATTCCAGAAATCTGCCCCCCACGACACGAATGCATGGGGGAAAAAGGGGGGTCAGGGTCTGACTGACATATCCATAGACAGACAGGCGGAGGCGGCGGAGAAAGGCCCCCCCCAGAAGGAAACCGACAATGGGGGGTGTAAATGGGGGCGAAAAGAAACCGACGGATGGGGGATAGCACAGAGGAGGCTCCAAGTTTCCCCGGGGCTCTGAGATCGACCATCTGTCCGAGCCCTTCCTGCTTCGG